GGATGGATAGATGGATGGATGAATGGATAGAAGGAAGGATGGATGGATGCATGGAAGGAAGGATGGAGGGAGGGAGGGAAGGATGGATGGATGGAAGGATGGATGGATGGATGGCTGCATGCACGCATGCATGAAAGGATGGGGATAAAATCTGAAAGTTTTTCATTTGTCTGGAGGGATAGGGTAATGGCAATGCATGCTGCAGTTCATAGCTGGAGAATTCCTGATAACAGCTTCACAGTGGCTCACTCTGCCCTGCATCCTTGGAGTATGAAAGTCTCAAACGTCTAAGGGAAAAGCCAGCCTTCCACTACATTAGAGTTTCTAGTTGAGGAGACCATTCAAACAGCCCAGCCTGCTATTGTCCCCCTTGCTTCTCACAGTTGGTCAGATGTTGGCTTGGTTTTTACTTGAAAGCTAGCTCCCATTCACCTCTCTACCTATGAATTAAGTTGTCAGCTTCATTGTGTGCATAAGTAGGTAGGTTTATCCTCTTCAAAAATGCAAGGTAACAACAAAATTGAAACAAAACCCGAAAGAAGTTGCACTGATTAGTTGTGTGTGTGTGTGTGTGTGTGTGTGTGTGTGTGTGTGAAGCCAGAAGCAAAATAAACTTCTGAGAAGTGCTTTCTGATTCCTAGGAAGCCTTTTAGGTCCCCATCCTTTGTGAAGATGGAATGAAGAGAGGAGGATATAATCGCTCCAAGGTATGGGAGAGGAGAAGGTTTTTATTGTAGATATAAGAGTAAATACAACCAGAAGCATCTGAAAGTGCAGAGCAGGGAGACAAAGTAGCAGACGAACATGATCAATAGACTGAACTGGGCCTTGAAAGGAGAGGGAGAGGGAGAGTGAGGGAGGAAGAGAAGAGAGATAGTCAAGAGGGGAGGGCAGGAGAGGAGAGGGCAAAAAGATCCAAGAGATCCAGGAGTCTGTACAGGACCCCACAGAAATGTCAGGGTTATATACTGATCAGTAGCTGGAGGAAGGGGAGCGAAGCCCTTGGCTGGCAAGGTAAACCTCTCTATAGGGCAGGGGATGAGAGAAGCCACAGGGAATAAGCCTGGAAGCCAAGCAGACACTTTGCTATCCTTATAGGTTCCACAGCTAGTCATTTGTCCCTAGTCTTCCTTTGGACCTGACAAAAACCACTGAGAAGAGTGCATAAGACTTAATATTTTATCAGGTTTCCTATATTCCGGTAATAATAATGATGATGTAGCTAACATATCCCATCCTCCATGCATCCTCATCATGACCAGCAAACATTTCCATAGAGTAAGAGATGAGTGGTAAGAATAAAGGCCAGCGGTTACATCACATTTGCTGTGCTCCTGGTTCTTCACTCAGATACTGAGTCCACTAACACTGTTAGTCTTTTGAATTTTCTGTGTTTTATTTATTTATTTTGTGTGTGTGTGTGTGTGTGTGTGTGTGTGTGTGAGAGAGAGGGAGAGAGAGACAGAGAGAGACGGAGAGGGGGAGAGGGAGAGAAAGACAGAGACAGAGAGAGACAGAGAGACTGAGAGGGAGGGAGGGAGGGAGGGAGGGAGGGAGGGAGGGAGGGAGAGAGAGAGGGCGAGAGAGAGAGAGAGACAGAGAGAGAGACAGAGAGAGAGACGGGGGGAGAGAGAGAGAGAGGGAGAGAGAGAGAGACAGAGAGAGAGACAGACAGAGAGAGAGGGAGAGAGAGAGACAGACAGACAGAGACAGAGAGAGACAGAGACAGAGAGAGAGGGAGATGGAGACAGAGAGAGAGAGAGAGAGAGAGAGACTTGGTCTGGTGCTGCTCTATATTCAAACAGTAAATACTGATTGCCAACACCTGATTGCCCCGACAGGGACAGGAGATCCTCACACCAAGTGCTGCTATGTAAACCCTGCTCCCTGGTTAATAAAAGGCTAAAGGCTATGACTGGACAGTAGGGAGAGGAAGGCAGGACTTGCAGGTTGATTGTGGGGTCTGAAGAGAGATGAGATGAGGTGGAATGAGGCTTGATAGATCATAAGCTCATGAGCAGGAGAAGTGGATCCTGAGGACAACCCTGGGCTAGAATGAAATTGCCAATAACAAGGGACGTATGGCTGGGATCTAAGTTAGAATTGCTCAAAACATGCCCAATCTAGACTTACAGCTTGTAAATAAAATACCTGGATTGTGTGTCTTTTATATGGGCTAGCTAGAAATAATAATTCCTTTTACATGTGTGTGTGTGTGTGTGTGTGTGTAATTGTGTGTAATGTGCAGTGCATATATGGAGAACAGTTTTTGAGAGTTGGCTCCAGCTGCCTGCTTTAACAAATAATTTCCATTCACTTGTTAACAGCTAGCTGAGAGATTCCTGGAGCCCAGTGTGTCTGGTTGGGTTAAGGACAGTTTCTCCACAGCTATAAATACTTGAATCCTGGATGGCAATACTAACCCTAAGAGAACAGAAGGCCACATGAGACTACTTCCTAGACACATACTGCCCAATGTCATTAACGTGACACCTCCTAACATTTCATGATCTGTTCCCAGCTTCAGCCATGGACAAGTCATATTAGTGCTGGTCAGAAAGTGGCTTTTTCTGCAGAGTTGGCTCTCCTCTTTCACAGTGTGGGGTACAGACATTGAATTTGGGTCACTGGCCTTGGCACCAAGCTCCTTTATCTACAAAGTCTGGCTAAGCATATTCAATTTTTACAAACATAGGAAGGAAATAGTCTTTTGGCTTAAGTGCATAGAGTAAAATTACTGAGGGACAGAGAATTAATTTCCCTAAAATCACAATGACATAGCTGCCTTTGTGGTCATGATCCACACCCTTTATTTTTAGGATAACAATAAAATTAACATGAGAAATATGTCTCTCGATTCAGTTTTTCTTTAAGTTTCATCATCATTATTATTGTTGTTATTATTATTGTTGTTGTTGTTGTTATTATTATTTGTATGCTGAGTTGGATCTCTCCTTCTATGTGGGTTCCTGGGATCAAACTTAGATCTTGAAGGTTTGTGCTGCAAGCTCCTTTGAGCACTGAGCCATCTTGCCAAACCATTGCAAGATTTAACAACTACATTCAATTTGTCTAACTGTTGCCCCAAACAAGATGTAGGATGTCCTGCCATTCCACAGCCTTCTCTCATTCTTTTATCCCAACTCCTGAGCTTCTGCAGATGTAACACTAGAAGAAAAAGCAAAGTGGTCTCCAAAATGCAGCTACCATTCTTTCTTGCCAGCAAGGGCCCAGTTATCCCACCGTTTCTTCAGCTGGGTTTTAAAAACTATAGTCACTATAGTAGTTGTAGGCTGTCTCGTGGTTTTAATTAAAATTTCTCAAATGACTGATGGCCCATACTTGGTGAGCTTGTTTTTGATATTTTCATTAGTTTTGGTGGTGTGTCTGTTTATACCTATTGTATGGTTTTTTATTAGGTTGCTTGTAATTGAGTTCTGAGACAACTTTATGCAGGCTGGATGCAATCTCATTATCAGATAAGAAAATCAAATATTTTCTCCATATCTGGGGCATGCCTCTGTGTCTTTTGAAGAATGGTTCTTATTTTTATGAAGTCCAGCTTATCAGTTCTTTCTTTTTATGTATCAGGTTTTAGATGTCAAAGATAAGAAGTCTTTGACAAATGTAGAGTCACAAATATTTTCTGATGTTTCTTTCTTGAAGTTTGTACTTTCTCACTCTCTCTCTCTCTCTCTCTCTCTCTCTCTCTCTCTCTCTCTCTCTCCCTCTCTCTCTCTCCCTCTCTGTCTCTCTCTCTCTGTCTCTCTCTCTCTGTCTCTCTCTCTCTGTCTCTGTCTCTGTCTCTCTCTCTCTCTCTCTCTCTCTCTCTCTCTCTCTCTCTCTGTGTGTGTGTGTGTGTAAGACCAGGACAACCTTGGGTATTGTTTCTCAGGCACTGTCCACCTATTTTGCATTTTGCAGCAGGTCTCTACACTAGCTGAACACTCTCCAATTACGGGGAAATGCAACACACAGTCTACTCACCCCAGATAGAGGACAGACTAAAGTATGGAGACCACCAAGTCTAACTCAATGCACTCATGAGTTTTATTAGGATTACTTACAAGAGTACAGCTGAGGGGTTACTTACAGCAGCAGAAACAATTCAAAGACAGCTGCATCATTAAAGCCTACCCCAGCATGGGTGATGGCTCACAGAATCTGGAAAACCTGGAGCACACTGCTCAGCCTGCAGGCAGGTCAACAGGTTGGATAGTGTCCTTTCCAAATGACTCTGGTCTAAAGGTTTTCCAGGCAGTTGGGCTGGTTTCTGGGTAGCTGGTCTTGTCTCAGGGTCTTTGTAGCTTGTATTGCTTACTCTGCCAGGGAGGGGTCTACCTCCCTGGCTACTTTGAAAAGGTCCCTTCTGTCCTGGTTGTGACACTCTATGGACCATATTCACATCCTACTTTACATTCCTGTGATGTTTAGGCCTGTGGACTATTTTCTATGATGGCCTGTCCTCCCCAGGCTTCCCTCAGCCAGTCCCTTGCACCTTGGCCACCCTCTCTCTCATATATAGCAGTTGTTTCCAGGACATGTCTCTTAGTATTTCATCCACTCCTCCCTGAGAAATTCCATCTGCACCTGTGCTCCAGCTGCTGCCTCCCATCTGCACCTGTGC